GAACTGCTTGCCTCACCTCGAGTCTGTTCTCTGCCGTTCCTGATCGCTCCTCCGCACAAAAGACACGATACACACACAGTTGGTGACAAAAAACACTGTACATTATATACATAAGCTAACCTTACCTCCGATAGTTTCCACGCTATGGCTTTTCTAGTTTTTCTAGCTTTAGCAGGAAGTGAATCGTTGGAAGTCAAAATTAGAAATCAAAGAAGAAAGCGCCGATTTTCATTTAGAACAAGCACATGCTAGCAGCAGGCACGGCGGAGAAATGTTTTCCAACTCATACCCCCTCATCTTGGAAACCACACGAAGAAGTTCATATAATGCATCCAGATCATAGCCGCTGTATGTAAAGCTCGGCATGAACGAATCCATGGTTCGGCGTTGGAGTCGCAGGGCTGCGTCTTTAATAGCAGATTTATTGCAGGCCTCTGCTGAGTCCTTGTGGAAAACCGAGAGCGCCGGAGAAGTCATCGGCTGATAGCCCGGTGCTTAACTTCAGGTAAAAATACCACGACTTTGCAGTTTTGATATCAAAGTTGAATATCGGTAATTGCTTTTATTTAAAATAAATTGCGAAAACAATTATTTCATGCTGACTGCGGTTAAAAGCGGCAAAAGTGCAGCAGCCATCTTTCATTCAGTTGATAAGGAAAGAAAATGATTACCTATAAATATAAAAATATAAATAAAAAATATAAAAAGTGATAAGAGCGGTTTAGTTTGGTTTTGAAGCCTTTATCCTTTAACGGGCTAATTAGTAATGTTTTCACACTTTAAGCAGTGACAGCTGGGGTCACAAGTCTCTGACGGGGTAATTTTGTGGGTCGAAGGTCAAAAACTTTGGCAGCCACCCTTCTAAGTTACATCAGGTTGCTTTGGGGTTTCATGTTATATTACACGTCTTTGTTGGCCAACTGTTCCTCGGGGCGCTGACATTGCTCTCACATTTCATCTAGTTTTACACAATCTGTCCCACCGATCGTAAAATTTTAAAGCCTGATGAGCATGAAAAGCATATTTTTTCCCCGAGCCCCTTATAGGTCTCATTTGTTCTTGCCACAGTAACTTTCCACGACCATGCGTTAACGCTTGGACAATGTCTCCTATCTTGAAACTAAGCCGGATGCTGGCCCACGGCAGATTGAGATTTCACTGACTGAAAACAAATTAACTGCTAATCCCAGCAATTCACATATTTTTGACTAATTCAGATGGACATTTTTGGATCAGCTTCCCCAGCATAAAAAGAACAAAGGGTAATGTCTGAGATGTGGTGATACAGTTGGGTTTTCATGTACTTTTCGTGACGGACTGGATCAAATGTCTGGAAAGAAATGTGACTTAGCTTGTGTGCTAAGCTAAGCTATCAATCTTCTTTTCCGTTTAACAGGCAGATATGAAACATGTTATCCATCTTCTCATGTAACGCTTGGCAAAAAAACAACACATGAGCGTATTTCCCAGACTGTCAGACGATTCCTCTGACTAATACCAGAACTGTGTAAATGTGCTTTTGCATTCATGTTTGGGTCTCTCAAGCAACACTGACCATGCAGCTCCGAGCAGCTGAAGTCTGCCATAATGGAGCCAGCGGTTTTATCAGGACAGCCTTAACTGATGAAGGTGACGTATTCTCTGGTTTTAGTTTGATGGGGGCTCTGGCCGCACTTCAGACACAACGACAACCCGATGGAGGAGAAGACGAAGTTTAGTCTGTTTTAACCGAGATTGTTTCTCTCACCTCTGCACATGCTAGCTGTGCAAAGGGGTTAATAAAAGTTGACAGTTTAAAAAAAAAAAAAGGTTATAAAATGACCTGAGAAAAGTTTACATAAAACACGACATGTCCCATGTTGTCATATTTTCTAAATAGAAACAAAGCTAAGTTTAAAAAGCTGTGGACGCTGTTGTTGCTCTTGGAGGCTTATGTAAAAATTCATTCAATTATCTGACAGCAGGACATTTCGAAAATAAATTTGCTTAACGGAAACGCAGCAATTGGGTGGGGGCGGAGGGGGGGAAAACAAAAACGCGTTTTTTGTTATAAAGTTTTGGCTGTAGCAAAATTAGTTTATTTTGTGTCACATGATTAACAACTGATGCTGCTACTGCGGAAGCCACGAAGAAGAAGACGACAGGAAGTAGTTGGATGATGATTTTTTAATGACTTATCGCGTGAACAAACTTAGTCACATGTGATTTGAGGCCACCGTAAAACATGGCTGAAAGTGGAGTAACAAGAGAGGAATAATGCCAAACAAAGCAGCAAAGCTAAACAGAATGATTTAAAAGAACAGAGTCAAGATGCCCAAGTGTCCTAGTTAAAGCCCTGGCCCTCTACCTTACTTAAATACCGTGGCAGAACCTTAAAAGAGCTGTGCATAAATCAATGCATATATAATAAAACGTAGCATGTTAAGTAAAATATCTGATAAAACAACACTGAGAGCTATTGGTACTAAACATAGTTCTGATTAGTGATAAATCATCAAATTAAATCTATTGTTTGTTTTTCCTACTATTGAGTCGATAACAATAGTAGGATAACATTAACTACTGAAATACTTTTATTTTGTGCTCAGTTACAAAAAAGTAAAGCAAAAAAAAAAAACTGTTTCACTCAGAACCTTTAAACAGCTTAAATAATCTGTTTTTATTAGCTGATTTTACCATCTGTGTTGCCTAAACAGGTAATTTATTAAATGAATGTTTCTGCGAGCATTTGCAGATATTTGCTGACATTTACAAACCTCAAACACTGTTTTAGAGAGTAATTGCTTTTTAAAAAATCATAGATAATCTTAAAATGTCTGACATTTAGCACCATAACTGTAGGAGTCTGATAGACGCTGTAATGATGTGGTGAGTCCAGCTGGTGGATGACTCAGGCACTAAATGCTTTTCATGGTGCTTTACAACCCCTCTTGCCTTGAAAAATAAAATAAAATAATAATAAAATCACGGTGCTTCTCGTCAGACACAGAGTAAAAGCAGGTCTCAGGCTGATTTCTTGCGGCTTTGCTGATGGAAACTGGGTGTTTTCTGAACGCCGCGGCCCGTCGCCACTCCCGATGGCCTGGTTTGTGCCGCTGGGCATCTCTCGTTCTTCACGCGTCGCTCTCGGTGCGCAGCTTGTGCTAACACATGACGGCATGGAACACGTCGGGCGGGGGGGGGAAATGTGTTTGTAATTTGCTCGCCCTCCTCCGCCTCCCTGCCCCCGTCGTTGCTGCACCTATCTGCACATGCGATCGTATTAACTCGTTGGGTATTTGCGCGCGCTCCCTGGGGGGGGCATGATGTTAAAGGAGTCGGAGCCAGGACCTCCCCGATGAGAGAGAGGAGTGATCTTTGGTTTTATGGATATGCTCAGGGAAAGTATTAAGAAGTTTAATGCTGCGTGCGCGAGCGAGCTGGTTTCCAGCTAAAATGTGGCTGAAACGCTTGACGTTCCAGCTGCTTTAATTTGGCGGGTCAGCAGCTGGGAAGCATCTCATTCAAGAGGAAATCTGCTGGATGGATTATCTCCGACGCCAGCTTTATTATTATGTTATATTCAAAAGTACCTTTGAGTTCTTTTTTTTTTTTGGATGGGGGTGTGGAGTTGTTCTCATTTCGCTCTCTTGGCCTTGGTTTTCCTCGCCACTGCCGTCCTCCTTTATCTTTCGCGCTCTGTGCTGCTTTCCACTTATCCGACTTCCTGCATCCTTTAGATCTCGCTCTCCTCGGAGCAAAGCGATAAAACAGAACCAAATCCCACATGTGCTGCTCCGGGCCTCAACCTGCAGCCCGAGGATGTGACTGACGTCTCTGTTACATCCCTGCTTGTACTCCAGTACGGGTCAGAGGATGACCTCTGACCCGCCAGGCGCTCCCTCTCCCGGTCTGATCTGCCTGATGGATGGCGCTCTGTCCGTGCTTGTTCTGGGACTTTTCACTTCTTTCTTCATTTGTCAGTAAGTCTTCCTTCCTCCTGCTGATAGATTTCCTTCCAGCTGACAGTCTGTCTGTCTGCAGATGCACACATCTGTTTGTCAGGTAATTACTGTTTGTCCAAAATGGTGCCGTCAATCCACTGATCCCTGCGGGAGCGCTGTGATTAATAACGGTTAACTTTTAAGGAAATGTTTCTCTGTCTCAATCCAAACATGTTGGTTTTTCCAGGTTTCAATATTCAGGAAAGGTTTAAAAGAAGTGGTTTTGTTTCCAACGTTAATTCAGAAATGTTAACTATAAACTGGTTGTTATTTTTGGTGGAAGGATAATTCATTGTTAAATACAAACATCTTGGTTTCATCCAAACATCCATCACGGTGTCTTTTTAAAGGGCCAGTATTAGGTAAGATCAACTGTTTTTAGCTTTACATCATGTTATAATGTTATTCCCTCGTCAAAGACATACCTGGAGTGTTGCCTTGAGAAACCCTTTAATCTCCGTGGCAACCATTCAGCTGTGCAGAACACCTGGGTGGACTTAGCCCCGCCTTTGAGACGCAGCTCCTCCTCTGAGCTGCAGCTTACCTTAGACAAAGTCAAAACATCAACCAGCCCCTCAACTTTTACTAAACCAAAATTACCTTTAAACTTTCATTAATATCTTCAAAGCCAAAGCAGCACAAACACATTTTTTTGCTCCACAAACGTAGTCGAGTCGATTCATACCAATTTTGTCTGAACTGAAGAAGGTGGAGAGACTGGTTGGCCTTTCTTAACCTCTGGAAACATTTCTTAATATCTTTAAAACGATAACGGCACAAATGAAAATCTTTGCTGCACAAATGTTTGACACCAATTTTGTCTTATTTGAAGAAAGTGGGGGGCCAACTTCATTCAGGTATTCAGCTCCCAAGCTTCTGAGCTTCTGCCACGCGATTTCCCCGCTCAGCTCTTGCAGACTAGCCAGCAGCAATTAGCAAACACCTGGTGGAACTGCGCATCTGCTTATGAGCTACTTCCCAGTTAAAAACGTTGTTAAAGGGTTGTTAGAGGAACCATGCTGTGATGACTTCCTGAAGGTGGAGTTTCAGAAAGAGCAGGAGTTTTTAAAGAGACAGAGGAACAATTCAAGCTGTTAAATTACAAAGTTAAATTTCTTTTTTTGTCATATTTGCTATATATGGGTTTTTTTATAACAACTGAAGTTAACATAGTTATGTATTGTGCTATAAAATAGCACTATGTGCCTGAAAAACACATAATACTGCCCCTTTAAAGTGAAATTTGCCATTGAGCACAAAAGATTGATTCTCCTCACTCATCTTTTCAGTCGTTTTAGCAACTCTGCAAAGTTGATTGCAGTACAAAACCATATGTGAACTGGGTAACCCCACAAGAGAGACGCTGTTAAATTAAAGTAAGTAATGTGATTAAACTGCATTATGTAATATTAGTTTTAGATTATTCACATACGTTAGCTTTGACACTCCAAGTCCAAAAACATAATTGTTTCTGTGTGAATTAGCTGATTGCTGGTAAATAACATCCATGCTGATGCTTTGGTTTATTCAAAAAAAAAAAAATCTGCTAAACAAAAACCAGGCGAAGGTAATGTCACTTTCAACGATTTGTAGGAGAGGACTGGAGAATTTTGACGGTTCCCAGCGGAGGCCTCGGAGAGGGGACTTGGTGTCAGGACAACGCTTCCTCATGTCAGAAAAACAAACGGATGAAATCGGTGAGCGAAAAGGAGGATAAGGGAGAATGATGGAAGCAGAGATGAAGGAGGTGGGATGAGGAAAAGTAGAGATGGACTTAGTGGATTAATATCCTGTTTGCTTAGACACAAACCAGCAGTTTTGCACAGCATTCTTGTCCCAGCATTCGTTCTCTCGTTTTTATCTATATTTCTTCTCTTTTCTTTTACCAAACATCTCAGAGGAACTATAGAAAATATTCTCTTTCCCAGCTTCTCTCAGCTGGTTCACGCAGTAGCACCTCATGGTATGACACTGACTGCACCAACACAGTCAAACAATCTCCAAACTGTGATTGATGCGCTGATAAAAATTCAGCTCCAGATCAGCGGCGAGTCGTATTGACTGGGAGCGATACAGGATGATTGAATAAGTGGACCAAGAGTAGGAGAAGAGCACAAAAACGGTTTAGAAACGAGTGAGAAGGACTCGTCTCTGTTATGATGTTTTCATTCAGTCAGATAGCTACGTTCTGATCCCTTTTTCAAATCATTTCGGTTTTGTTACGGCGCAGCCAAGCATTCAATCTCAACTGGCAGAAAGTGAAAAGAAAATGACACAAATGCTAAATAGTAGCAGTGACTCCATTAGTTTCTTTTGCTTTGACACAGTAAAATACAGTATCACTGAGTCAGGAGTATTTTCCATAAGAAGAAGACAAACTGAGGCATATTTACTGGCTGAAATAGCTATTATGTCAATGATTATGTCCTGGAAAGAGACCCAACTAAATGGTAATACACCAGCTAAAGAGTACTTTACATTTAAAGACGTACAAGGAGAATATAGTCACGGTAGCAAAAGTTTTGATAACTTTGTCTAGGAAAGTGATACAGTTAAACACAGAAGCGCTGAACCTGAAGTACTTTTAAGAAAGACGAAGGGGAAACAATTAGTTATTTTTAGTGCCTCTGTGCAGGTAACAAAATTACATTGACAACAAAAAAACAGCAGAATCTACATATTTAATTGCATTGAGGGTTCCAGCTGGGAATGAGACGCCGCTAAATACAAAAGCACCGACTCCGGAGCGTGAAGAAAAACAAAGGGAACGTCCATAAATGACGGCAGCAATAACCCTGTCATCTACACCTTTTCACAAAAGCAGCACTATTGGACGCAGATACACTTGAATATTTTTTTTATGGCAAGAAACAGAAAGATGGACACACAGTTAGTGGTTGTAGTAACACCATCGATGGATTCCTAAAGGAAAGAGATAAAGACAAAGGAAGGACTGCTTTGTGTGGGAAGAAGAACAAAAACGAGTGAACAAAGTTTATAGCTTCAACAAGAGCTTTCTACTGGTTCTGTTAAATAACGTCGACCCTAACGGTGGGAGAGGTGCGGTGGGTGTCTGTGTCTTGTGAACTTTTTGGCGAAGACAAGCTTGTTCTTCATTCAGCTCGCATCTGTAGAGCATCCAGGAATTCTACCCAGGTAAGAGTGAAAAGAGTTGTAAAAATACTTCTGAAAGTAAATTTGTTTCCAAAACGTTAGTCAGGTAAATGTAAGTTTGAGTTTGATGCGTTTATGAACGTGCTGCTGTCATGGAGTGAAGGTTGATTTTTTTTTTTTTTTCCATCACGTCTTCCACAGAGAAGGATGTAAACTCAGTGACAGCAACGACCACAGACAACTATAACAACATAAACAGAGAAAACAGAGGAAAGTGGTCACTGGCGTTTTAAGAATCTGTGTTTTATCATTTTGTTTCGTCGTTTGCTGTTCTGGCTTTTCAAACGCTCAGATTATGGAAAGATCTGTGGCCTGGCAGCTTCCATGATGGTGAAAGACACTAAATATCCTCCCTGTGCACGACCAGACATCTCGGTTTTTAAAAATAAAACCCCCGTTCCTCCCTCCCTTCCTCTCCTCGTTCGGCCACCCGCCACAGTCAAAGTAGGTGTTGTGATTTACCAAGTGAGAGTTTGTGGCTGTGTGTGTGTGTGTGTGTGTGTGTGTGTGTGTGTGTGTGTGTGTGTGTGTGTGTGTGTGTGTGTGCGTGCGCGCGCGCGCGCCCGTGCGTGTGCCAGCTGTTCTGCATGCCAGCAATAGCTGACCACTTGTCAGCCAGGCCAGACACACAGCGGGCTTTCTGGGCCTCGGCCAGCTCTGCAAGGCTTGTGCACACGCGCACACACACACACAAACACACACCAACTTGGAGCTCATTTGTGTTTTTATCCTGGTGATGTGACAGCAGCTGTCGGGATGCTACGGGAAGATGTTTGACTACATCATCTTGTAAACGACAGAGGGGAATGTCTGGGTGGGTTTCGATGTGAAGCGTGGTTCGCTCGGTGGTTGGGGATGTCTGAGGATTCGTCTGTGGCTGCGCTCAAGTGCAAAACAGCAAAGAGGGAGAGCGGGAACACTTTTGATCGCCTTCCAGGACCGATGTAGCAAACATATCTGTCTTGGCAGACTGCGTCCTGCTCCAGAAAGCCCCGCGCTGTCTCGTCCTGTAAATCACACGCTAATGGTGGAGATGGCTCCTAAATCTGTAGTTCTCAGACGCAGGACGTGTCCTGATTCTGATCTATGATTAAATAAAGCTTATCTCACGAGTGTTTTTGCAACGAGAGATTTTCATCCAGGCACTCAGCCTGCTCCTCGTCTCCCTCCGAATTCATTCCCACACTCTCCGGTTAAGCTAATTGTTAGCTTCCCTGCCATCATTTTAGTGGGTGTGATCCACTTAATCTGATGTATTATACACTCGTTTGACTTTTTGTTATTATTAATGGCATTTTATGTCATCTCACTGTGCTTTATTATTTCAACCAGCAAAGTTGAAATAATAAAGTACTTGATTTAAAAAAAAAAAAAATGTCTCTGCATCATTTCAAGGACTCTACAGTTCTGGAGATCAGACAAGACGTAACATGTGAATATTAGGAAAAACTGCAAAGACACCCACATTCCTGAATCCCATCGGAGCAGAAAAGGCTTTTCTGTTTTCTTCTGTTTGTTTGGTTTCCCTCTAAAAACAACATAATTGTGATTCGTTCCCATGGGCTCTGCACATCCAAGAATAATAATCCTGTCTGATGCTCCAGTGGTGTAATTATGGATCCAAGCAGACTCTATAGCTGCGCTGTTGTTCTAAACAGCTGAAGCACAGAGGAAGTTTGGTTTCCTAAACCATACGTGATTGAATGCCAACTTTTGAAACTCCTGCCCAACATCTCTGCAGACCGTACACTGCAGTTCTGCTCCACTTCGCGCCACTGGGGGAAGTACTTCTGGTGTTTTCCCAC